GTGTTGAAATTTACAAAATACATTTCAACATGGGAGCAGATATATTGAATATAATGTTATTTCAAAAAGTCCATACTTAACCTATTTATTTATAATATGGTGAATGAGATATTAAAATCTCACACCATTAAGTAAATTATTGTAAATATTTCAAATAAAAACTGATATTATAAGATGGAACTGATATGATACATTTATCATATGAATATATTTGGAAATTTATATATTTTGCAAATATATATAACTATCTCCTGAAAGTTTTATCAACATCAGATGGTTTATATCAATTTCAGTATGAAAATATGTCAGAAATTGTATTGAAAATTGCAAGTATTTCTTGATAATATTGTATTGTAAGCTTAAAGATCATCACCACCACTCATCATCATCATCATCACCATCACAATCACCATGATCACCACCACTATCATCATCATCATTATCACCACTATTATTATTATTAGCATCATCATAATCTCTATCACTACCACCACCACCACCATCATCATCATCACCACCTCCACCGCCATCATAATCCCCATGATCACCACCATCATCATCATCATTATCACCACCATCATCATTAGCATCATCATAATCCCTACCACCACCACCACCACCATCATAATCATGATCATCCATACCACCACCACCACCACCACCATCATAATCATGATCATCCATACCACCACTCATCATCGCCACCACCACCATCATCATCATAATCACCATTATTCACATCACCAGGTTGCAGTTCTAGGTTGCATGATACCATTAGCACTCATAAGGATCAAGAAATTATAATTTTCTGTTCATATTCAGACAACAGTCATCCTAGAAAATAATGATATTCTTACATTAATAATGACTGCCATATTAAAAAATTATTAAGGAGGCACAGTGGATTGCAGTTCGGATTGAAGAAGTGGAGAGGCCAAGTTCAAATTCTAGTCAAGTCAAATTCACTTATGTGCTAATATCTTTGGGAAAGGTATGAATCCATCTCTTCTCCCCACAGCTATGGGCAAATAGCAGGACAGACTGAGTTTTATAGCCTTGGGTGGCAACCAGTCTAGGAAAAGGAAAAACTCTGATTTCAAAACTTTCAACTATGGGTAAAATGATATAGCTATCTGGGCTCTGCAGCCATGGTTGGCAACCAGACTAGGAGAAGGAAAAAATATGAATTCAAAACTTCCAACTATGAGTAAAATGGTATAGCTATCTGGGCTCTGCAGCTATGGTTGGCAACCAGACCAGAAGAAGGAAAATTTTGAATTCAAATTCTGGAGCCAGAATCACTAAGACAGTTTGATGTCAAGTTCAATTTGATGATGTTGGTGCCAAACTGAATTGGCCTCTGCCTTTACTTTAGACAAACATCAGTCGTGTGGAAAGGTGAGACATGCTGCATGGGGAACTTCCAATCTCTCATAAAATAACCTTGCTCAGGCCTGCATCCTGGTGAGAGCATAAATCTTTGGGTGCAGATCCATGGTGTCTCAAAACTAACAGATGCCACACATTTTTTTAGTAAAAGAAATTGTATTGTCATATTTTCTTGCTTATCTTTTTGCCTTTTGAATCATAACATATTTTGGGTTTTGTTTTTTCAGATCAGTGGAGGAAAATGGTATCCAAGTGTTTCTTTACACAAATTGAAACACAAGATGAACCAGACTGTAGTACATAGTATTTTATATTTAAAATCTGATAAAGTGTATGAATTTGAGGTGCATATCGTATATAATATATACCCTTTTCAAATAAACATTTGGCCGAGCAAAAATGCCTCATTTAAATTTCAATTCAAAACTTTAGGTAAGTTATTTTTTATATTTGCTGATTAAATGAATGACAAAAGGCAAAATATTTCTATTTGGAAAGCAATATATTCATTTCATTGAATCTTGGTATAATTCTAATATAAAATATACTGCTTTCATTAAATGAAAAAGTAAGACAAAAATGCATAGAAAGTGCACTGATTTCTGACTCTTCCAAGATCAATTAGTATTCAGGATTCTTATAACATTTCACCTTTCTTAATAAATCCTCTGTTGTTGTAGTGTAGAATATTTAACACCTTGAGCCCTGTGTTCCTGAACAATTTTAACACTTCCACCTGATCTGAGTCAAACTAGATTAGGTCTCATTTAAATACTCATAGAGACCTATCAGACCCTATTTGCAACATACTTCTTGATAATACAAATATAATAGCATCATCTACATGTAAAAAAAAAAGAGGCTAAAAATAATGGAAGCTTTATTAATAAAAACAAAAAAAAAAACCAACACACAATAATATAAGCTATGAACATGGATGCAATATCATGACCATGTTTTGAAAATAAAACATTCTCTAATGCTAAATACATACATACAACAATCCATTTCCAGTTAACAGTAAATACAATTCATTGTTGATAATGGTTAAAGGTATAGCCATAAGCGCTTGGAAAAATAAAACATTTGGACAGTTTTTGTATGATTTATCTCGGGAAAAGAAAAAATTATAAGATCATATGAGAAATTATATAAAAAACTTAATCAAAGTATCTTGTCTGTCATATTTAATGAAACTTGCATGAAAGAAGGATTACTGCTTAAATAACACACACACATATATATATATATATATATATATTTGTGTGTGTGTGTGTGATTCCATCAAGACAAACATTACTTTAGTCTGTTGAAGTTCTTTTAAAGAACAAAATGTGTTACACAGAATTTTTTCTATTTTGTCATTCAACATTGTTCGGTTATATAGAAATTCATTTATCATATTCTTGCAAGCTTTCTTAATAACATTGATGTAAAGTGTGATCCATTTTAATTGTTGCAACAGACTTTTTAAATCGGAAAGTAAACATATTCACTTATTTTCTTGTGACAAATTCTTTTCTTTTTCACTTTATTTGCATTTTTAGTTTATTTTTTATTTTTGCTTGAATTTTGTAGCAAATTTTCCTGTTCCGCCAAACACACCAGTGACTGAGAAACTTGATTCTGGCTACATTGGAGTTGTTTGGACAAAATCAAATCAAGAAAATACCCAACCCACTGGTTATGATCTACAAATCAGGTAAGCCTCGTCATATCAACTTTCATCTTCTTCCACCTAATAATCGATAAGAAATAAAACTGATTGACCATTTTCAGACTGAGCTTATTTACGGATTTTAAGACGAAACTCCAATTTAAATTTGCTTAGAGAACAGTAAACACAAATTAACCCCTCTACATGTAAGCAATTTATTAATGTAACATCGTGGATGTAAAATAAAAAGAGAATAATCTAAGGTTAAGAAGAAACAAGATTTCTTAACTAACAAATATGCACTCGGGTTCTTAGAAATATATAATATTTCTGAAATACAGCATATTTGACATGGCTGCAAGAAAAAGGAAAAGAAACAGGATGCCATGGTGACTTTTCATTGGCCTGTTAACTGACAAATCAGCAACTAGCAAGATTTCTTTTTAAAAAATTCTTCACTTAGTAGTAAAGACATTGTCTGCAAAATGCTATGACTGGGAAGCTCTTTCATGCACTTACCCCTCTCCATCACTGACAAGTAGCCAACAAAATTTCCTTACTAGGGAAAAGGAGCTAATAGAGATCATATGTGTTGTGCTACTTACTACTGCAATTGTTCTCCTGGTGAAAAGATGACTGATTTGACTGTCGGTAAGAAACAGAAAACATGCGACTTTGCTGATGCAGAGATATAGCCCACTATGAAACAATGACCTTTGTTGCTAAGCACCAGTTCAAGCCAAATATGATGTCATGGCACAGTAACCACATTTTTTATCCTCCAATAAGATTTGAAGAAATTTTGTGTAAATTACACATTGTGGGTGTAAAATAAAGGAGAATAATTTAAGAAGAAAAAATATCTTAACTAACATATACCCAATTGATAGGGTCAGTTTACAGTCACAAGTCCAGCAAGAAAAAAAAGAAAGAAAAGAAGCATTATTATTTTAGAAGTGAGGGTCCTGTTCATAATATAAATACAATGTCAAATCAATCTTTGACCTTTTAAAGAGTTATCTGTACTTTATTTTTATTTACAAATGTCAACACTTGGGAATACCAACTGCTGTACGCTTAGATGTGTAGATGGTGTAATAGATAATGGCTCAGAATTGTTAATTGGAGAGCTGAGTTTCAATTCCAGTTGGGTTCTTATATTCATTTATGCACAAATACCCTTGGAAGGGTATGAATCCACCTCTTGTCTCCCCCAGCAATGGGTTAATTAGTAAGACTTGTATCACTACATCATTATTATACCCCTCTCATCAAATTTTTACAATCTAAAAATATTTTCTGGCTTTAAATAACCTGAAAAGTTATTGTTTCAATTGATTCCTTTTCTACAGCTTATCAACCATTTGAAGGTTATTTAAAGCCAGAAAATATTTTTAGATTCTAAGAATTTTTTTGAAATAATAAGGATTTTGCTGATACAAGTCATACTAATTAACACATATCTTAGAGAAGAGGTGAATTCATTCCTTTTACAAAGTTATTTCCATATAATGAATATAACAAACCTGTTTGGAATTAAAACTCGGCTGTCTGATTTCCAATTCTGAGTTATTACCCCCCCCCACATATCCAAGCTTGCACCACCTTGTATTACCAAGCAGTCACCCATCTAGGTATTGACCAGGCTCAATGTTGCTTAATTTTGGTGATTGTACAAGAACTGGTGTTTTAACATGATATGGCCATAAGCTCTCTTTAGAAGGAAAACAGTTATAATTTGCTTTAATTAGAAATGGGTTATATAAGGTCACAATTTGTAATGTATTTAGCAAATTGATGTGAATTGTGAAAATAATTTCCTAATGGGTAACTTTAATTTCCTGCAATTCTCAGAATAGTCCTCCAACTCAAACCATTTGATACTGACAAGGTAAAATATTGCTTAACTTTTGTAACCATGCAAATAGTTAGTGTTTATCTCTTGAATTGATGCTCATATAACAACAACCTGCTTTTCATTTTTTGTTTTATCTTAGTGTTTTTTTTTTTATTTCTGGTTTTGTTTTGCAGAAATGTTGAATCAGGAAATTGGACAACTGTCTACAATGATTCCCACCCACGGTGGATTATCAGTGATAAATATTTAACTGGTGAAAAATTTCTGTTCAGAGTGAGAGCGAAAAATTCAAGAGGCTGGGGAAACTATAGTAATGTCAGTATACCGTTTTCTAACCAAAAATGTAAGAATATTATTTTTAAAGAATTTATTTTTTATAGTTTTTGTATTTATCAATAGAATCTTACAAAAAATTAATTAATTAAAAACATATAATTTGTAAAAAATATTCATTCTTAAACATTTTTCAATTAATAGTAATGAAAAATTTCATTTGAATGTCTTCATTCTTGCTTTTTTTTTTCTTAATCATTTACCTCCAAGCAAGGCAATAAAGCCACTAAGATGCAAGGGGGGTGGGGTTACTGAGAGTGAAAGAAAGTGAGAAAATATTATTGAGAAGAAAGGACAATAAAAGAAGAGGTGCAAAAAAACAGAAAGATGACAATTGACATTGTATTTAAATTTTTGAAGATTGTAGTTGACATCAAAGCAAGAACACAGAAGAGAGTTCCCCAAGCAAGAAGTGCAAGAGAAGAAACTATTAGAATAGAACTTACACTTAATATTGCAATTTCAATAATAAAATGATGAGACCTAGCTGCCAATCTAGTACTACATTTAAACTCATGAAGTCAAGGTACCAAAGAGGAAAGTTCAACAGAACAATTCTAATCTGAGTTGATCTAGACAATTTTTCTCACCAGAATCTATCTTACATTTTTTTTTTAATATTGCTCCTGCTATATATTTAGAGATTCTTGATAAAATCGAAAGAAGAATCTGCATGCTTATTGGTCCTGACCTGGCATCTTGGCTTCAGTCCCCTTCCCACTGCTGTAATGTGATTTTCCTCTGCCTTTTCTATAAATACTTTCATGTTAATTGTTCTGATGAGTGTTCCACTATGGTATCTAGACTTTATGAATTTAAGTGCAGTACTAGATTGGCAGCTAGGTCACATCATTTTACAGTTGAAATGACTACATTTAACCATAAGTTCAATGCTAACAGTTTCTTCTCTCGCACTTCTTGCTTGTGGAACTCTCTAATATTTTCCAGCCAACTTTGATCTTCAAAAATTTAAATGCAATGTCTATCATTATCTTGATTTGTCTTTTTTTTTTATTGTTCTCACTCTTTAATAATGTTTCTTTTTTCTTATTCTTTCACTCTCAGTAACCCTTTGTGTCTTAGTGGCTTTATTCCCTTGATTGGGGTGAAATGATTAACCCTTTGAGTCCTGCATTCCTGAACAATTTTAACCCTTCTGCCTGAGCTCCTGAGTCAAAATTCGCAAATAATTGGTATGTAATGTTTCATGGTCGATATAAAAATAGTTACAAGTGTTTACCCAACTGTTTAGCCGGTGGCTGGGTAGTAAGTCATTTTTCTCTACCACTGTTCAACCGGTGGCTGGGCATTACATCATTTTTCTCTACCACCAGTGAAGTGGTGGCCAGGGCTCAAAAAGTTAAAAAAAACTACTGAATTGCATCCTTTAGAATAGAGAAGGAATTTTTAAGAAAAAATAAAACAGTACAAACTTTATTTTTGTTGAAAATGTTTCATTTTGTCTTTTTTTTTTCCCTCCATTACAGCAAATGAGAATTGGGCAGAGGCAAGTGTATACCCATTCATCATCATTCCATTTATCATCCTCATAGTGATCATCATCTTATTTTTTACTTGGGTTGGTAAGTAACTTTTCTTTTTTCTTTTCTCTCTGATCACTTTTTCACTGATCATATTTCTTCAGTTTTATTTATACTTTACTTAAGCATTTGTCTGTATTTTTCAAATGAGCAGACACATGAATTGTTATTGTTTTAAATTCAACTCAGAATGTTCTTTGAAGTCGTTTTTGTCATTTAACCTAACAAAGGGTGCGTTAGAAATTCTTACAGAGACTCACAGTATTATTGTCATTCTTTTACTAGAATAAAAAGCAAATTAGGACACAATTAGCCTATAACATTAAATTACTTTGAAAATATTTTAAAAATATACTTATTAATTTCTGTTTTTGCAATTATGAAATTATTGTAAGGTACGTAATCTAAGAAAATAATTTACGCAGTTGCTTCCCTTGACTCTACAGTTAACTAAGCATTTTAGGAGCTTTTTATGATTTTTTTTTTTTTAATAAAGCTTTCTTTAGATCAGTGTTTTTCAACCGGCGAGAAACACTGCAAGAGGTCCTTAGGGATTTTGTGAGAAGCTGATAAATAGGCTAATGCATTTTTCAATAATTTTTATTTCATTTTATATTCGTATTTTTACTATGCTTTTGCATCATATTGTTGGAAAATCCTTGGTTAAAGGCTTTAACCTCTTACATTATTTAAAATTATAATAATCGTAGGGAATATATTTAACAATGTCTATGTAGCATAGGGAATATATTTAACAATGTCTATGTAGCATAGGGAATATATTTAACAATGTCTATGTAGCATTTTTATGGAATATTTATGCAGGTATTTCCTGAGACATGAAAACTATTTCAAGGGTTCCATAAGGGTAAAAAGATTGGGAAACGTCAACGTTTTCAACCTATTTTTTTTATCTTACAACACACTTGAACCTTTTGTTAAACTTCTGTGGCAAAATTATGATGATCAAAAAAAAAAAAAAGAGTAAAAATACTTTTTATGATTTCTCTATTAACACAAACAAAACAATTTATTATAATTTGCAATAAAAAGATAATTAAAATTCTTAAAACGAACATTTATCTATTTTTCTATTTATTAATATAATTTAACAAGTCATACTTCTATAATAAATTGTGTGTAAGTGCTATTGTAGACATTCTAAAAGATGCTGAAAAGTAGATATATTCTTTAATTTCGAAATATGCCCAGTACATTATACTGGTGTTATTAATTTATGTTATTAAGGGTTGCTTTTTATTCGTTATAATAAGAGATTCCATTATTTTTAACCTTGTGTTAATTACCTCGGGTTTTTGAAAATCAATAATCCCATGGGTTGTTTACACACCCCAATACAAAAATGCTTAGTGTTACAATTATGTAAAATATTGTTGTACTCCTAAAAGAAATGACATAACAGGTAATCTTCATTATAATATTCATTAAATCAAAATTTGAACTGCTGATACAATGAAAGGAAAAGTAAAATAAATTTGTTGCATAAATATATGTTGTAAATTACAAGTGAAACAGATCAATGCAATAATAAAAAAAAAATTTTATTCATCAAAAGTAGCCACAATATATTTTCATGAATAGAAAGATATTACATTAACTAAATTCATAATTGTGGGACTTAAAGATTAATAAAATATATATATATTGGCTTAGTTTGATTTGTTTTACGGCATATCAACCTTAATGGGTTACTTAATGCCGACAAAATTTTTATTTCTGGTAATATTTTTTCTTCAAAAATGTATAGCTGGAAATAAATTTGTTTTTTACAAAGTATTTCTGGTATCAAAACCTATTTTTACACTTTCATAGTGTTTTTATGTCAGTTTGGGGGGTCAACTATTTACCCATAGCTGGGACCCTAACAGGTGCTAACACCCCGGGTCAGAGTGGACCTGGGAATACCAGCAATTATGCAGATGATATATATATATATATATATATATATATATATATATATATATATATATATATATATATATATATATATATATTTAAATCTATATCATTATAAATAACTCCAGAATTAAATATATATCATTATAAATAACCTCAGATTTAAATATGTATCGTTATAAATAACTCCAGAATTAAATCTATATCATAAATAACCCCAGAATTTAATATATATCATTATAAATAGTATTAATAATAATTAACATTAATCATCAGTTGAATATTATTTGTTTTTTCTAAAATATCTCTTGTCTTTGTTTTATATTCTGGTGAGTGTTGTGTGGCTGGAAATATGGCTAAAGCGACAGGAAACATTGAAAAGTTTTGAAAAAACTTTTATAAACTTTAAAGCATAAAAGAAATCAGAAGATAATTATTGACTGCCTTTTTCTTAATTCACGGTCCTTAAATGAAATTGCTTATTTTATGAATACATTAGTTTTTGTTTTATGCTCTTAATTGCAGTTTTCAAAAAGAAGCAGTCAGAGAAAAAAAGGGCCAGTCATGTGAATGATGGTCATAATCCCGATGTTGAACTTGCTACTTTACAGGATCTTCCACATATTGCAGTACAACAAAATAACACTTTATATTCAGTGAGGTAAATAAATAAATTTTTTATTTAAAAAAATAAATAAAAATGCAAAGAAAAAAAGATCTTTACCAGTAAATAAACATCAAAACAAATCCTTTTATTTTAGACTCAAAGAATTTCTTTCTCAATCATTTTCTAATTATCCTAAAAAAAAGGTTTGTTATACAATGAAACCTTGGTTCATGAATTTAATTTGTTCCTGAAGGTCATTCATAACCTGAAATATTCATAAACCAAAACAATTTTTCTAATAGGAATCAATGTACAGAAAAAAAGTCACACTACAATAAAATTGGAAAAGAAAAGCACAGCACAACACACAAATGTATACAAGATGGCAGCAACTCAGAAATGGTTCCATTTGGCTTAACTCAGTTTGGTAATGTTGTTTGAGAATCAAAATTTTGTTTGATAACTGAGGCATTTTCATCTCGAATTTTATGTTCAAAAACTGAATTGTTTGACATGTGAGACATTTGAGAACTAAGATTGCCCTTTATACTGCATATGGTTGCAAAATTAACCAACAAAAACAAAAACGTACTACAGTAAGGTGGAAAAAAGGGAGGCAAGATATATTTTTTTTAATCAATTTACTCCAAGCAAGGGAGTGAAAGAAAATTAAAAACATTTTAGAAGGAACTGGAAACCCAATCCTAAACACGAAACAATGGATAAACCTCTACTCTTCTACAAAAGACTGGGGAGCTGTATTGCCGGTATAATATATAAAGTCAAAATATCTCTTTTGTGAGTGAGTGAGGCAATCTGGAAGATGGGAGAGTCACTTGTGTACAGGCTTACATCAAGATGGCTGACCGGGAGTCACTGGTGGACTATGTGAACTGCCTGTGTACTGTGTCGGTGTGTAGGAACTTTTAAATAGTCAGGGTGGATACATTATTCAGTGTTTTTTGTCATGTTTTTGCTTTAACAGCAATCTTTATGATTGGCTGTGACATTTAAATTTTATATTTTTGGGGGATTTGTTTCATGATCTGGATGCCATGCTCAAGGGCCCTACACAGAAAGTGACTTTTTTATTTCTAATTTTACTTTTGTGGTATTCATATCTGGCAGACAGGTTTTGATGTGACCTGAATCAGAAAGAGATCTAATTAGAAATAGAGTCTAACAAAATTTTGATACATCCATCTATAAATAATTCTGACTAGATTCTTCATCTTTGTTTTTTTAGTATTGTCGAAGCACAAAACTTTCTATTGCAGATAATACATAGAGTAAAAAATATATATATTCTCCTTCTGGAATGAACTTAATACTTAGAGAAGAAACATTTCTGGAAAGTAACTTTTAAAAATATGTGAAGAGAAACAATACATATATATCTATAATAGGATAAAGGACAAATGGGAAATGTTTATCAATCTAACATGTTTCACGTTTATTAAAGTTTCATCAGGGAATGAGATATGCAGAAAAAAGAAATTTGGATATTTTTATTTTTGTGTTTGATTTTCATGTGCATTTGACTTGTTGAGCAGCATTAGTTATTGTGTTCTGAACTCAAAGAGGAATAATGCATTCTTTTAAAGCTAAAAAAAATTAATGGATTCCAAGTCTAACTGAAAAAAATTAATAATGTCTACTAGATACACATACACACACACACTTTGAAATATAAATTATCATCTGAATCCCATAGAGGCAAACTAGATTTATGATACTCTTACATAGCTAATGCAATATTTAGATTTTTTTCAGTTTTCAAGTTGGTATTTAAGTGATTTTCTGGTGCCAAGTTGTTCTCTGACTTTTTCTGATTTGTTGGGTAAGGTGAATAACTGTAACTAGCTTAGTTCTTTTTTTTTTTTACATAAAAACAGAAAAATCCACTGGAGTATTTTGTTTTTGTATTTTTGCTTCCATTAGGTTAAATGATTTGCCCTTGTATTTTTGCAATGAAATTATAATGAAACTTAATAATCTCTCTCTCTCACACTCTCTGTTACCATTACTCCCTGTTAATATCTTCTTCTTCTTCTTCTTCTTCTTCTGGCATTACAGTATTGTCCCAACAAATGCTGATCTTGTTGAAATTTCTTGGCAGTGGAGCACCTCATACTTCTCATGTAGCAGTAAAGGTTAGTACACCAATGTACCAATCTTTAATCCGAAAAATTTAGGGAAAACAAAGTAGATGTTTATTAAAGTCATACAAACTTAAGAAAATCATTTACTCTAATGGGAACTTGTTTTTGAGTTTGCTGGATCCTACCCTACAACAGTGTAAAAATGTGTATTTTAATTCAGTTTGTTTTTTAAATTTATTGATAATTTTAAAGATGTCTTGAAAGTATATCACATAGCAGTAAAGGTTATGATGGCTAGATGAACTGGAACCAATGTATTTTTTTTTAGGGAGAAGACTACCTGTTGTTTTTATCAGGGTATATTTGTTTATTTTCGTCTATTGACCAGAATATTCGATAAATCTTTTTAATAAGATTTCTTGAATATTTGAAAAATAAAAAATAAAAACATTTAAAATATAAAATCTGTCTGATTACCACTAGTTGGTTTGTTTATGTTTGGATATAATGTTATCTTTATTCAAAATTAGAAAAGTTCAAGAATTAGGAAGCTGTTTTAGAGAGAGTATTGAAGGAACAGAAACTATGGTTTTTAAACAAAAAACAAAGTAGATGTTTTCCAAAAATCAAATAAAACCAAACTTAAGAAAAAATCAAATACTACTCAATTCCTACTCTCTGCTCTGGTTACTGAATTGGAACCTAGACAAGCAAATCCTAAAACTGTTTTTGCCAAATAAAATTTATAAATAAAGCCATCTGATGAACTCTGATAGTTCATTATATATATATATATATATAAGAAAATTAAAAATCAGGAACCAAAGAGCAGGACAAGCCTTTATTGGATAAAAGCAAACTTATCTACTCAGTAAAAGCCCAGCCTAGACAACAAAAAATGTCAAGTTATTTTAATTCCTTTTAGGATATATATATATATATATATATATATATATATTTATATATTTATTGATTAAAAATTTTAACAATTATTAAAACTGTTTTAGGAGAAAATGTGAAAAAAAAAGGCCACAAAAGCTTAAAGTATCCAAATCACATATAAATGAAATGTTATGAATGATGATGATATATATAT